GTGGGGGGGGCGGCAGACTGAGGCTCCCACAACGAGGGAGTGGGGCCAGAGTAGGTACTGCCCAGCTGGGGCGCGATGCCCCTTCCCTCTCCCCACCCTTTCCCTCCCCAAGATTTACCAGCCAAACGCTGCTCTCCAAGCTGCCCGACTGGCTGCACGAATGCTGCGGCTGCACACATGCACATGGCATTTATCAGCAGCATTATCAGCCACATCAGCCAAAAAAAGCCAATTGACAATAATGTCAATTTTCCTTATATCAATGCTGATACATTACGAACCAATATATTGGTGTACCTCTATCAAAAAGAACAGTTATTTTTATGAAACACATGGAGAGGCTTGCTTGACTAAAACTCTGACAAAGTCACCAGAGCCAAAAAGCAAGGAAAGAAAGTTTATTTATATTCTCCATACCACAGACTTTTCTATTTTAGCTTCTTTATGAAAATCCTGCAGGTCAGCCAGTTTCTCCATCCCCCACTCCCTTAAAGCATTTCCCATCTGTTTTAGGGCTACTGTGAAATAGGGGGGAAAAAAAGTATCACAGACTATGTGGTTCAAAACCCCCAGAGTAAGAACAGAACCAGAGAAAATAATAAAGTGCTAAAAATTATTTTTAAGGTACAAAAGCTTAAGTCACATGATTACCTTTGTCAATAACACTCTCAAAACCAGAAAGAGCATCAATATGAAAGCAACTATTCGCCTCTCCAACTTGAATGGAGGATCATCCAAAGCAGTAGTGCCCAGACTTTCTGGGCTAGGACAGACGAGTGACATTCATTTGGTCCATGAGCTGGATCTAAGAGTGGGGTCAATGTGTGGCCCCAAACAGACATACCACTCTGGGCCCTGGCCCTGACCTCACACACCAGCCTGATCCAACACGCGGGGCCAAGCCATCAGTCCATGAGGCTTGGAACTTCGGTGGTGGCAGAGTAGTGGCACTGTTGCTTGCCACCACTCCCCCACTGCCAAATTTCTAGGGGTACACCAATAAAGATTTTTTTTAGCCAATACCAATGGCCGATTATTAATCAGCCATAGCTGCTGATACCAATCCAATAGCTGATATGCAGTTTGGCGAGCAGCATCTGGCCAGTAAGTCTGTGGGGAGGGGAGGGGAGATCAAGGCCCCTGCAGTGACGGAGGGAGTGGGGCTGGGGCAGAAGCAGGCACAGCCCAGCCAGGGCAGCGTAGGATGCAGGACAGAGACATGGGCTGCTTGTCTGGGAGGTGTGAGGGGGGCAGGAAAGGGGGGCTGTGCCCCACTGCTGACTGCACCCATGTGGGAGCCATATGCCCCCCAGATGTGTGCAGGGCAAGGGCAGGCTGCCCACTGCAGGATCAGGGCCAGGGGCTGTACCAGCCTCTTCCCAGCAGTGGGGCTGGGCTGGGGGTTTGCCTGGGGTGAGAAGGTGGGCTATAGCCATCCCAAAATTCACCATAGCCCCCAGTGCCGCCTGCCCTGAGCACAGCCCCAGCCCAGCCTCCTCACCATGAAACAACTGGTGCAGCCCACAGCCCCAAGCCTGCAGCAGGTAGCCCACCCCCACTCCATCCACAAATCTGGGGGGCACATGCCCCCATGCCTCCCCAGGGGTGTGTTTAGTGGTGGGGAGTACCCCCCCAAGCTCTGCCCTTGTTGGGCAGTGCCTGCCCCTGCCCATGCCCCAGCCCCATTCCCTGCCTCTCCGTGGGAGCCTAGATATGCTTCCACCATGCCCCTTTCCCCCCAGCCAGACACTGGTCTTCACACTGCTGGGCTGCATTCCTGGCCACGTGCATGCTGCAGCTGCATGCATGGGCATGGCATTTATCAATGACATTATCGGCTACAATAAATTAAAAAAAAAAGCAAATAGCCAATAATGTCAATTTTCCTTTTATCGGCGCCAATCTAATATGCACTTCTACAAATTTCTGGATCATAGGGAGTCCCACAGGCCAGATCTGGCCCATGGGTCAGAGGTTGAGCATTACTGATCCAAAGCAACTGGAGAGGAGAGGATAAAAATAATTTGAATGCACAATCCAACAAACACATTTTTGTACATCTGGGATGAAGATACAACACACAGAACAACTTTCAGAAACATTAAAAAGAGATGGAATTGATAATAATTAAAAAGTATGAAAAACAACCTGAAGCATTAACACCATCTTTAAAACTGAGAATTCCAAAGAACTTTTTTATGAGCTGTGTAGCTATTTCAACATACATCCTGAAAGAAGCAATGTATGCTGAGGCTCAGGAAGCACTATATTTTAATGTTAAAAAAATAATAGACAAAAAAGGAATAAAAAAAGTAGAAAGACTGACTAAACTAGGAGGAAATATAGAAAAGCTTGTCACAAGAGGAAAACTAGTGGGGCAATCCATTAGGAATTCAAGATGCTTATCTGCTAGGGAAAGAAGTGAGAAATAAACAGAAAGAACTGAAAGTCGTAGTAGAGCAAACACTGCCTGATGTAGAGAAAAGACTTGGTCAGAGAGTTCACACAACTGGATATTGATATGGATAAGCACAACATGTTCAGGAAGGACAGGCATGAGGAAAAAAAACAGAGAGAGGTGGCATTGTTCATTATAAAGGTCTACGCTTGTTCTAAGGTTCAGAACTAAGTAAGAGATAATCTACTGCAAGTCTTTACATGAAGGGGGAAAGAACAAAGGCAATGTTACTATGGGTGCCCACATCAGACCATGAAACCAAAACACAATAGTGGATGAGACTTATTTTAAACAACTAACTCAATCATCCAAGCTAGAGAGCCTAGTATTTATAGGGGCCTTTAATTACTATACTTGCTGGCAGAGTAACACAACCATGCACAGACAATGCCCCAAGTCTTTAAGACCATGTTAAGAGTTGGCACAGACAGCTGAAAAACCAACTGGGGGAAGCTGTTCTTGATTTGTCATTTAACTAATAAAAAGAAACAGGCTGAGCCTGTGAGGCTGGTGGGAGCTTGGGAGACAGCAACTGTGAATTTCTCTAAGGACAGAAGATCACCAGAACAGAAATGCTGTTATTTCAGAAACGCTGCACTGAATAAACTCAGGGGATGGGGAGGCAGGATCCCCAGAAAAGCAAACCTATAGGGCAGACGCGCTCAACCTCTGGCACATAGGCCAGATCTGGCCCATGGTGCTGTCAGCCGGCTCACAGGCCTCCCCATGGATCTGGACATTTATCAGTGTGAGAGCAGTGGCACCACTCATCTGCTGCCAAATTTCTGGGCCATGGATCAGGATCCACTACCAGTGAGGAGGGCTGGGAGGGGGCAGTGCCTGCTTTCTGGGACCCAGTCCTGACACATGGTGGGGGAGCAGCGGGGAGCGGCACTGAGCTCCCAGGCAGGGTGGATAAAAAAATCAATGATTTTTTTTTCTGATTTTTTTTTTTTAAATTAGAAAAGCCATTTTTTAAAGGGAGGAACTGTTATGGTAGAAGGGAAAACCTATCATAACAGTAGGCTTGCAAAGCCATAAGAGAGACCCGGTTTGGGAATATTTTAATGGTTATATCAAACAAGAACACACTTTTTGTAGAAACCAATGGTTAAATAGAGGCTTCCTGACCAGTGATTTAAATCGATTGGATTTAAATCAAATCCACCCTGCTCCCAGGCCCCGATCCTGGAGTGCGGGGCAGGGTGGCGCCAGTGCAGGCCCGATCTGGCCCAGATTCACCCCCCCACCTCCGCGGGGCCAAAAGTTACAGGCAAACGGGCAGCCAGGCGGCTCTCTCTTCAGGACCAGCTTTGCAATAGCTCCCAGGTGACACAGAAGCTCTACAAAGGCTGCGAGCGGGGCGGGGCTGCAGACAGTGCGCGGGTCGGGCCGGGCCGCTACAGCCAACGCGCCTCCAGCAAGTGGTTTGGCCGAGGCCAAACACCCCGCAGCTCCCTGCAGGCCCCAGCACGGGGCGCAGGGCCACAGCATCCGTGCAGGGCTGCAAAGGCCGCGGAGCTGGCACGGGGCACCGTCGACTCTACAGCTCCGCCCCTGCCGCCGCGAATCAAACCTGGGGACAATCACCGGGGACTCCCGCCACCCCCAACCGCCCGCGAGCCCAACAGCCGCCGCTCACCTCACGCCATCCGAGAACCAATCGGTGGCTGCGGCGGCCGCGAGCCACTGCAGCGCTTCCGGAAGTGGCGTCCCAGGCGTCCCGCGCTCGCAGCCCCGCCCCCCGCCAGGCCCCACCCCAGCGCCGAGTTGTGGAGGGGAGGAGCCGCCTGCCCGCCGTGCCTCACAATGAGCGGGAAGTTTCCCACCCCCATCGTGGCAGGCCGGTTGCTGACCCTCGCGTGGGCCCGCCCCAGGCTGGGTGCTGATGGGCAGAGGGCGGCACCTTGGAGACCATCTCGTTTAGCACAAGCCGAGCTCGGGCCTTGCTGAAAGGGCTAGTATCCAAGGTGCTGCTATTAGGCTGGCGCCGCCAACTCAGTTTCCCCGCCCTTAGGCACCTCCAGGTGTAGAAGTGGAGGCTGCAGTCCTGGACTTAGCCCTTCAAGGCAGGGCTGGGCATGAGGCAGGGCCACAGCGCCTCGTGCACTTTCTCACTATCTCAATTCGCTTCCTTGAGGCCTGGCCCCATACTGCTGCATCGCAGTGGTTGGACAAAGGCTTGGGCGTCTCCGACAAGGAGCTGTTCCCAGGTCTCGTCCCGAACAGCTGTGGCAGGAGCTGGGTCAGTGGCCCAGGGCCCTGGCTCGGTCAGAAGTGCCAGCAGTCTGGTTTCTCACAACAGCAATTAAACCAGGCACAGGCAGGTGCTGTGAACGCAGTGATTCTCTGCTAGGGGGTTGCAGCACCCTGAGGTGCCTTGAGAGCCTTTCTAGGATGCTGCTGGGTGCTGTACCATGTCAGCCCAGTTAGGTCTGCAAACACAATTTGCAAGCTAAACCCAGAGATTTGCTAGAGGCACCTGTAGCATCAAAACCCATTCTGGCTTTTCGTGTCTCAGTTCTTTGCAACCAAAGAACTGCTGTATCATTTTTCTTGTCTCAAAAAAGCAAGTGAAAAATAAGCTGGTGTTTTCTGAGCATGCCTTGAGTCTAACATGGAAATGTCTTGAGTCTAAAAAAGGCTGCAAATAACTGTGTTAAAGGCTGACATGTTCCAGGTTTTTGTTTTCAGCTTTCTTGTTATATCATCAGTAGAGCCAAGCAGATTTTTTCTCATAGCTATTGAGATTTAATAGTGGAAAATAGTCCATTCACCTGTGCTGAGGGAAATCAGCTGCCTGAACAGTCATAGCAAGATCAGAGTGTTAGAGCTGTGGTGGTCCAGAGAATATGTGAAAGAAAGATTTGTTTGGTAATATCTTTTATTGGACCAACTCTGTAAAGTTGGTAGATACTTAGACAAGCTTTCAAGCAAAAGATTGCCCCTCCACAGTCTGGAAAAGAAGCTGATACAGACCAAACTAAATCATCTTCCTCAGTCAAAGATGATTGTTGTCTATGGTTGTCTTATCTGTGTGTCCAAAGATGACTGATGAAGGTGATTCAGGCTTGACAGATTCTGCTGCAAACTCAAAACAGTTACTTTTGTGTAACTCCATTATGTAATAAACACTTTAAAAAGGAAGAGGGCAGTAAACCTGTGGAGTGAGAGAAGTTATTGGAAGTAGCTACAAAGCAAGGGGCGGTAGAAGGATAACAAATTGTCAAAGAATGAGACCACTCAAAAAGGCAGAAGGTCATTACCACCTGTGAAGTACAGAAAGGTTACCAGGGAGAGTAGGTAAATTGTAAAATCATGATGGTTTGTAGTGTCCAATAAAGGTACAAATTTTTGTTCCCTGGTATTATGTAGGTTTCCTTTGCACAGGAAGACTGAGGTCAGAGGTAGAGTAGCAGTTCTGGGAAAAGTATTCTCCCAGTGGGAATTAGGTGTTTCTATCATTTATTATTTTTCTGTGAGAGTTTATTTTGGAGCATCGTGGTGCCCCAAATCTTGAGCCATTGCTGACAGATGTTTGTCTAACCTGCTCTTAAAAAATGCCAATAATGGACATTTTAGAACCACTTTTGGTAATCTAGTTTAGTGGCTAACTGGATAAATATGTGACCATGACATTTTAACTTATATAAGGCTGGTGGGTACAAGGATTCTTTTTGCCTGTTCTGCATGCATGTGTGTTAATATGTAGCTCCATATGGTTGTGGAAAAAATCCTTTAGTACTTCTAGGAAGTGCCATAGCTTTTCAGACTATTGATACGTATTAGCATGTCATGGTAAGAGGTAATTTACATGTGGGTCTGCATGTTAGTATATACAGGCAAATAAGCACTGGGGTTATGTAACTGTATTTGTTTGTGTAAGATTGTCTGAGACTCAGGTTAGGAACATTTTACCAAGTTTGTGACACTACTGTTGGACAAAGGATACTGCCTTACTTGCCTTTTTTTCTGCTTTCCCATTCTCTACTACCTGAACAGCGCACAGCAGGCTCTCTTGCAGCATCTGGTTCTTCACCACCTTGGTTATCATGGTGATGATATCACCAGTATACTTTTGTCTCTGGTTAGCTGAGTAGATAGGGTAGTGCTGTGCTTCATAGCTGTGCGTGATGAAAAAAGTACAGAGGGCTCTGATGTGTCCTTCTTGCAGCCCCAGACTCTCCAACACTGACTCCCATACCAGTCTAATTCTCTGGTTCTTGCTTTTGCGCCTCAGTATAGAGGCTAAGGTAGGAAGACTTCTTGCTAGATCTGGCAGCTTCTGTGTCACCTGACTGTGCAAGCAGCTAATTGTTTCACTAACATAGCTGTAGAAGAGTTTTATTTCCACTGAAGTGAACCTGCCAAAAAGATAGAGACAAACCTTTTCTCAAAGAACTACTTTCCTCAGTGTTCAATTTATCACCATTTAAATTACAAATTGGAGATTCTGGTGGTCTTTGGCCATGGCAAGCATTGTTTTGTCCAGCCATCTGATGATAGTAAACCTTCTATTTAAATGAATCATAGTTCTCACTTAACTTTGAAGGGATGGTTTCAGATGAGTTCTGGATGTTTTTTAATAGACTAGCTTGAATTTAAATGAACAAATGTGTAGAATTTAATTTTCTTTATATCATCATCAAAGTTCATCACAGTGATCAGTTCATTTTCTTCTCAATTAACTTCTACCAGTTAAAAAAGTAAGGCCAGCACTACTAATATGAATTCAGTTATTTAGTTGAGCAAGAAATGCTAAAGTGATTTGCCAAGGGGACACAATAAACAAATTCCCTGTTCTGCCTAAAGACGTTGGGGATGTTGAGGCTCAAAAGACACTACTGTTAAAGGGACTGGAAAATTCTGAAACAAGATATAGGAGCTAATATTTGATGTTTAGCTTAATTTTTCCCAGTTTATCCCATGTAATTGAAAATCAGTTTCTTTTTGTTGCACTTACTGATTTTAATGTATTGCCTTCACATAGGATGTAGAATTTGAGTTCAGTTTTGAATGCAGATTTCTTTTGTCTACTTTCTCCTATAATTTAAGCCAACATTTTCAAGCATGGGTGCTGAAAATTAAGCTCCAAAATCCATGTTTGTCCTGGTCCTCCACCTCAGTTCTGCAAAGGTTAAAATGTGTGTGTCATTTTATTCATAAAATTAGTCCTGTTGGTTCCAAGGAACTACTTGTGTCCTGAAGTTACACATCAAATCTTCATAGGATCAAAGTCAAAGACAGCTAAATAGGTGGCCTGTGTTTGAAAAGGTACTGAACATCTACAGCTGTCATTGCTTTCTATGGTAACTGTGAGTAGCTGAGGACATTTTGAAAAACGTTTAGGCCACTTATTTAGATATGGTTATTGGAGCCTAATTTCAGATACTGAGATGTGAAAGTTTGGGCTTATTTGATGTAAGAGTGGTACCATTATCTTAATAGAATCTTGATTGTTCTTGCTCACCGTGGGACAATATCATACAAAAACAACTTACTAGAATGTACAGAATCACAGGCATTTCTCTGGTATTCTTAGGGACTATATGGGTATTTTAAGTGTACTAAATAATGTCTTTTTGGATGTATCTGCAATTGAAATGGAATGTGTCTAGTTATTCCTTGGACTGCCAAACTCGGTGGATTTACTTGTGGCAAGAGACAATTTAAAGTCACTTCCTAAATATGGAAAATAATTGTGTCCCTTTGCTCTGACTGCAGGATAATCCTGTTCAGCTTCATCTGTATACAGTATGTTCCAAGTCTCATATCTGGTTGGAGACTGGAGAACTGTGAAGGCAGAACTAAAAGGGTTCTCTTTATAGCTCACCTGTCCTCCAGCAGTGATGTCCACATTTCATCCTGGCTCACTTGCTCCTCCAAGGACGTGCCCTGAATCTCAAACTTCTGTGTCAGTTTCTCTAGGGTTGAATCCAGCTCTTTGAATTTATTCTTTAAGGTCTGCAGTTTGTTTTCTATTCTGTAAAATATTAAAAATCGTAACTATGTTATAACATGCTGTGAACAAACTTCTGTCTCAAAAGTGGAATTTCTTCTTTATAATGACCAATTCTTGCTCCTGTTTTGGCGTATCCACAATTCTACTTTAAAATTGTTCATTCTTTTTACAGGTATTTATTAAGCAAGCTGCATATACACCACATGGTTTGGACACATTCACATTGGCCTCAGCTGTCACAGAAGAAGTTTTAAATTTGTTATTGAAATGGAGTTTTACAAGAGATTTACATTTGTGTTTGAGTCTTAAGTTTCAAATAATTGCTCTTGCTTTCTGCAATTATGGTGAATTTCTGTGCATATCTTTTCAGATTGTTTGGAAAGTATTTCAGAGATCATTTGAGGACCCCTAACTGTCTCTGTTAGCACAGCCATCACGCACAATAATTTCCTAATCCTTATTAGCTCTCCCTGTTACAATTTTCTTTTTATAAGAAGGTTTTTTCCTAGCATGGCTTTCAGGAGATGGCCCTTTATATCTACCAGAACAGTAGTCCTGCGCCACTACAGATGCTGTTTTGAAACTTGTAGCTGTGATCTTGCTTCTTGCATTTAGTAAGTAAGTGTTCATTTTTTTTTTCTCATTTGGGGCAAAAGTGTACATTTTTATATTCTCCAGGAATTGTGTCACTAAACTCAGTTGCAAGATTTTAGAGTTTCTCTGTAAGGCTTGTTACATCAGAAACTTCATCATGTTTTAAGTGGAAGGCTTCATGTTTACCTTGTGAACATAGGCTTCTAGGTGTACACTCTGTGGTCATTTACTATTGTACTATACATCTAAAGAGTTGGCTTTAGCGTATTACTGTCAATTAAGTGTATAGCTATATTTCAGTGCAAGGCTCTTCTACTTATGTAGCTTCTAACTGTTCTGAAGTCCATTCATCTAACACCAGCTCCATCTATAGGAGAACAGTCAAAACCTTATACTTACATTAATCTTGGGCATTTGTATTAAAGTTGTTTTATCAACCCAACTCTACTAGGGTGTTGACTTTTGATTCTACTGTTTAAGGTAGTGTCCACAGCCATTCCCCTCAAACAAGATTTATGAAATACGCAACTGCACTGACATATTTTTGTGCTAGTCTTTCTGACCATGACTTCCTTTTCACGTGACTTTGTACAGACTGCTGGCTAAGAGCCCTTTTGCATTGTTCATCCTGATAAGAGAGGAAAGGTATGGGACTAAGACTCAGGAAATCTGGTTTCTTTTTGCAGCCTTGCCTTGGACTTCCTGTGAGACTTTGCAAAAGGCAATTAAGCATTTATCCTTTAAAATTGTAGGCATAGGCTTTTCTTGACTTTCATAAATGTTTTCCATCTTTAATAGGATTAATTTTACCCCACCTATGTTGGGGTTGGGGACTGTTTGTAGAACATTTAGCACAATGGGGTTGTCATGTCAGTTGGGGTTTCTAGGTGTTACCTAATAAAGCAGAGATAGGCACAATAGTTGCAGTTCTTCCTGTTTGTGTCAACATTTTGCACATCCTTTGTTTTAGGGATGCTTGTAACATTTTCTATTTTAGCTTTTTGGAAACATCCATGCAAGAGAAGATATTTGTGTGTAAATGTTTGCCAAAAGGAACTTTTCAGCCTATAGCAGAGACTTAAATTGCAAAAGCATATTTGTTTAATGAAAAAATTAAATTCACAGTGTGTGAAAAGTGTGCTAGTTTTATAAAAATTAGCAAGAAGTGTGGGTTTTTGTTGATTTTTTTGGGGCTGTTTTTCAGACTGATTCCATCTAAAATGAAGTATATTCGTTCAGGTGAGACTGACCCATGCTTTTAGTACTGAAGGTGCAAGAGTTAAAACAGTATTTGGAGGTGTCAACATGCAGTACTGTGCAGAGGTACTAAATTAAACTAACTTACTCAGAACTAGCTTTTCTACTAGAAGCATTATAATTGCTGTCAGAGCACTCTGTTCAGGACTAGCTTGCATAATGTGTCTGCTGTTATGTAGAAATAACATTATTTTATATGTTGCTGTTCAGTCAAGTAACAGGGCCAAGGCTGTGTGAGTAGTCACACAAATTACACAACTCTACTGTAAAAAAGAAACAAAACAAAACAAAACAAAACAGGATAAATACAGCAAAGAGCTTGTGAGAATTGTATTGACTTAAATGTAGTTTATGTAAATAGCTGCTGGAGAACCTACGTTGAACACCTTCAAGAGCAAATGTCGACCACCTGGGCGACAGCGATCATCGCCTGCTGGAATTCACCATCCAGCGCAAGGTGGTAAAGGCATGCAGTAAGGCAGCGGCCCTAGATTTTAAGAGGGCAAACTTCAACGAGCTAAGGAGGATAGTTGGAGAAGCGCTGAGGTCCCAGAGGGGAGGGGAGCCAGGTGTCCCAGGAGAGTGGTCGCTCCTTAAGGAGACGATCCTCCAAGTCCAAAGGAAGGTAATCCCAACGAGGATCAAAGGGAGCAGGAGAGCACACAAGCCTCCATGGCTCACCAAAAGCATCTGGGAATGTCTCCTTGCTAAAAAGGAGGCTTACACCCATTGGAAAGAAGGGGTCATCATCAGGGAGGGCTATTCTGCAGTTGCTCAGGGATGTAGGGGGGTAGTTAGGAAGGCCAAGGCAGAGATGGAACTGGGACTAGCTTCCCAGATTAAGGACAATAAGAAGTCCTTTT